AAAAGCATCAACCCATAACCAGCAAAACCACACGTCCTCTGCTTAATCTCAAGATGTTGTTAATGATCATCCCGGAATGCAGGACACGTGATGATAGGCTTAAATTACAGGAAGCCAGAATTTGAATATCAGGAAAGTCTTCCTGACTGTTAGAGCAGTATGACAATAGAACCAATAACCTTGGGAAGTGATGAGAGCTCAATTCTCTTGAGTGCTGGAGGCATTCAAGAGAAAATTAGACAGCCACCAGTCAAGATATATGGGGGTTAGACTTGGTCGCCTTAAAGGCCATTTCCAAGTTGAGTGCTGGAGGTATTCAAGAGAAAATTAGATAGCCACCAGTCAGATATACAGGGGTTGGACTCGGTCGCCTTAAAGGTCCCTCCCAAGTCCATCATTCTGTGTGCTCCCAACTTTTCCTTATAGCGCTGTGCCACTTGTAGTACTTCTAATATACCCAACTCAAAGGCAGCCCCAAAGGTAGGGACTGTGGCTGGTCAATGTCAATTCTGTCAGTCTTGATCTACCTCCTGTTCACTCCTTTAGTGTAGTGTCTCTGCAGAACTGTTTGGGAGAGGACCGCTGGAGAGGAGAACCTTCTTGCTTTCCCACAATTCACCGTAACAACTCCACAACAGGGTGGAGAACATCAAATCCCAGACAGAGCCAATTTTGTGCCATGTGGCTAGTCTGCCAGGGCAAATTGGCTCTAAATGGATTTCTCTCCCGGTCCTAAACCAATAAGACCTGCTCCCACACATTGGAAATATCACACTCGAAAGAGCGGCAATTAATCTGTGTTAACAAAAACATCACAACATCCAAGGCAGCAGCCCTTACCTTCAAGACCTGCACATACGGCAAGTTATTCGGCCCAATCTTGCTCCCATTGACCTCAATGTGCTTTAGCCACTGGATATGCGGCTGAGGATCACTGTAGACCTTGCAAACAAATTCCACGTTGCTACCCAAGGAAACGGTCTTGTTTGCTGGCAGCCCGGCCTGTAGGATAGGGCGGTGTGGAGATCTCTCTGGAAGAAAAGAGGGCATCAGATAGGTGCCACCAAGCATGGAGACATGCATCTCCATGAGCTCCTTTGATACATCCACATGTTGCCTGGCAATGTGATTTAAAAAAGGGGGGGACAGGGGGTTATCGCAAAGCCATTTACAAAACAGATAAAGCCAGTAAGATCAAATATTGAAAAATCAGACAAATGTTGAATTTGAGCACCCAAAGGAACTTCAGAAGCCATGTCGCAGCTCTGGCTATATTGGCGGGCATAAGCCCACCTAACATTCCTGTATGTACACTCGCAGAGTAGACAGCTGGATAGCTCAGTGGTTTAGGTATCTGGCTGCACAGCCCAGAGGTTGGGAGTTTGATTCCCCATGTGTGCCTCATGTGCCAGCCTGGGTAGCCTTGGGCAAGTTGCACAATCCCAGGGCGCCCCTAATGGAAGGGAAAAAAACATTTCTGAATATTCTCTCCCTGGAAAACTCTGAAAAGGGTCACCGTAAGTCAGAACTGACTTGAGGGCACATCATGATGATGATGATGATGATATATACACTTGCTAGGGGCACTTTGGCTTTCCTCACACACATGGATGATGATGATGATGATGGTGATGATATATACACTTGCTAGGGGCACCTTGGCATTCTTCACACACATTACTTGTGCAAAACAGGTATTGTGCAAGAAGCAAATGAAGGAGCTATGCTTTTATTAAAATTGAGGCTCAGTAAATGAGACCTGGTAGGAAAAAGGGAGTCATGGAGCAATCTAACGAACGTGAACAGCTCAAGATCGGAACCCGAACCCCAGGTTCTGAGAAACAAAAAGAATTAGGCAGGCATGAAAAGGAAAGCTTGCAGCCAGTCTACAACCTTCATGTCTTAACTTGCGATATCACAATGCGGGGATTAAGATGCTCTTCCCCCAACCTTTCATTGCAAGAAGGTGGAAGCAAGTTCTTTCCCCCCCCCCAACCCTTCATCCCAGCCAGTCACGTATTAAAAATACGAAGGGAATGCTTCCCCATCTAATCCTTTCGGCTAAGAATCCTTGATGAGCAAAGCCCCCCTGTATCCTAAAAATCATATTTAGCTTCCTGAGGTAAATATCACAGGACCAGCTCTTTGGCTGCCAAAGGCTCTCGCTGCCTCAGATTAGAGCGCGGACTTTCTGCAGCGCTTCACAGTCCTCATCTGATCCAGTCAGAAAGAGGCTGGGCCGTGTTTCCCATCCCCTCCCAGGGCTGTTGGAGGCCTAATTCTGGGGTCTGCGCTGGAGACGGCCGCCACGGCACTTCAAAAACAGGCCAATGCCTCGCACGCAAGATTGCACTTCTTAAAAAAACATTCTGCTTAATCTCTTTTTCCAAAACACAACCCAACAAAACGGACTGAAACCTCAAGTCGCCGAGCATCTGGCGACGTATAACGTTCATGGGACATAGGAGACGGACAAATAAAACAATTCGACCCGACAACTGAAAAGACAAAAAGGGAAAATTTCAAGATAATGGTCACACCATCAAGTAACTTCCAACATGCCTAGAAGATGGAAGAGACCCACGGCTTGTTTGAAAACAATAAAAACCATGACATGACATGTCAAAGGACATGTCAATGGTGAGAATATATGGATCATATTTTTATTTCAGATATCTGTATCTGGAGATAGATTTAAACCTTTGGAGAACAGAGGAGGGGCAGGATCTGTTCTCAAACATGTCAGAGTGTAGGACATGTAATCATGGGCTCAAGCTACAGGGAGCCAGATTTAGACTGAATATCAATTAAAAAAACCTTCTTAACTGTTAGAGTAGTACAACAATGGGACCCAATGATCTTGGCAGGTGGTGGGTGCTCCAGCGCTGGAGGCATTCAAGAGAAAATTGGACAAGTTAATTAAATGTGTAAGAATTCTAGACTCTGGAGTCCCATGTATTTAAAAAGCCAGCACGGATAAGAATGTCTACTTCAGCTCTCTGTAAGCAATAAAAAAGCAGAAATTATCTGTCCTTCTCCCATCCTGTGATGTGTGGTGCGGCAATTAAAAATTCTCTAGTGGGCAATTAATCTGCACCAAAGAATCCTTACATGCACCCGGACTCTTTGCAGGTATTGCCTGAAGAAGCCTTTGCCACCTGGGCTCCATTGACCCAGGTAAAGGGGTCGAGACTGCAGAAGAGTCAAATCAACGTTAACTCCATTTGACGTAAAAAAAATAATATCCCGGTCGCTCACAGCCAATAAGAATGAACAGACAAACGCAGCACTCCTTACACGGCTTTGAAAAATGCTCATGGAAATGTCCATTATTTCTTCAAAGGCTTTATTACAATGCCCTAAAAAAGCAACTCTCTGATGCTTGGAATGGAATGCGAGTACATAGAAGCAAAGAGGCAGCAGCATATGAGTAACCAAAAGCTACTTTATGCAGGAGGAGCTGGAGAAGTCCTAAGAGCCTTCTGCAGAGACTGGTTTGATAATGTTGGTTTGGCTGCAGCTTCTTAGGGTCCGAGGTAGGGTTCTTGGCAGCATTTCCCTGGGGGTGCTGGGACTTGAACACAGGACCCTCTGAATTCAAAGCAGGTGTTCCAACCCTGAGCTACAGTCTTCTTCCTTAGCAGAACTGTTGCTTAAATGCACCACTTTATATCACCTCATGAAGGTTCCATCCCCCAAAATAATATGGATGTTGGAAAGGATCGGCTACCCAAAGACATTTTGACTGGAAACGTGGAGTGGATTGTGTGAGATATATATGTGCCTTTCCCACTGACCCCTGGCTGCTCTCTGAATGCATGGAAAGGCAAAAATAATCTGGAGGTCTTTTGCAAACACGTTCATTAAGACTGATTTTGCTGCAGCCCTGTAGAAGTGAAATGGTATGGGGAGGGTCCCCTGTCTCTGAAGAGGGACCGTTTAGCGGAAAGGACAGTTAAGAAGTGGGATAAGCAGAACGGCAAAGAGCCAAACTGCGCGTGTTCTGCACACGACTCCGGGGAAGCCCACTCAGACTGAAGCCCATGATGAGGATTTCCTAACATTTCTCCCTCATCGATGGCTTGATGATCCTTTCTAGCTCAGCCGGCACTACAGAGGCATGTGACCTCCATGACAAACAGGGCCAGAACTGAAAACGGCACCCAGCAGCCTGGCAGTTTTCCTTGGGAGATGCATAGTAGGAAGTCTTCCTGCTGCTTCTCTTTGGCACCATATTCTCAGGACGGGGTAATCTGTATGGAAGAGAGAAGGTTTTAACCCATTCCCTTACAAACTGCTTTCTCTCCACTCTCCACCTTCAACTTTCCTGTACCCTAGCTCCTTCAACCCTTCCCAGAATTTGGATGAGGAACATCTGAAGCATGGAAATCTCTCTCCAGGTGCCGTCTCAGTGGCTGAGACTGGCTACCATCATGGCATGTTTCCAGCATTATCTCTTGCTGTGTGGATTAGTTGTTCTCTATTAAGGCTCAGCCAAGTCTTTGATGTTACTCATCCAGGAAAAACCATCTTCTACCTCTTCCAAGTTTACCCTTGATCTCCTCTTCAGCAATGCACTGCGGTATATTATATCTATAGTGACGAATTATATGTCCAGGATGTGAGAGCTTGCATTTCTTAACAATGATCTTTATTTCCTTTTGTCTTCCTATCCGATGAAGCGTGGGGATGACTTAAAGGCCTAGCTTTTCATCAGAACAAAGGTACAAGATAAGCTTTGCTTGTTCGAAAGCTTTGTCGGTCTATCTAGGGCAGTGGTTTCCAACTTTGGGTCCCCAGATGTTCTTGGACGACAACTTCCAGAAATCCTGGCCAGCACAAGGAGCGGGTAAAGGCTTCCGGGAGACCTAGTTTAAGAGTAGGTGGGGACCCGTTGTTGAGAACCACTGGTCTAGGGTGCCCACTTAGCTTCTGTTACAGTCCCTTTGAAGATGTCCTCCATTGGAAAGGCTCTCCAGTCTAAATCTGACTGAAAGATGAAGAACCAGAAGGAAAGAAAGCTGAAACCTTGACGCTGCCTATCTAAACTTAGCAGCTCCTGGACAACAGAATCAGCAGACATGCAGGTCGCCTGGCTACTGTATCATCCATTTAGGTGAGATGCACTGTAACTCTGTTTTAACCTTGAACGTAACTTCTAAAGTCCCATCTTCACCTATAAACCAGCATACACTATTTTAGGCAATTGCTATCCCTTTTTTTTCCCCAGTAAGACATAGGTCTCCTTAAGAGCGGTGGTTCCCAACTCTGGGTCCCCAAGTGTTCTTGGACTAAAACTCCCAGAAGCCTTCACCACGAGCTGTTCTGGGATTTCTAGAACTTGTAGTCCAAGATTTCTAGAAACTGCACTCCGAGAACATCTGGAGACTCAAGGTTGGGAACTATTGGCTTTAAACAATCTAAGACCTTATCACCACAGTCTTCTCCAGATTAGGCTCTCTGACCATCTGATGCTAAAGCCACAATATTGAGCAGAACTCAGACCTATGGTGGGCAGAAGAAACTGCTTGGTTTATCAGGAATGGGAAAACACCTGGGTTCAAGTGTTTTTACCAGTTCTGGCCAGTTCTGTAATCTCATACTGATGACCAGTCACATGGATTGATGCTGTTCTCTCCTTTAAGAAGCCTTCAAGGTCCACATACAGAAGAGTGTCCAGGTAGTTGACCAGCACATGATGTTATTGCAAGCCATGATGTTTTGGCTCTACAAGAAGCAACCCCCCAGAAATAACTTCTCTATTTCCACATTCTGGGGTACTGGTTCTGCGGATGGGTGCCCCTTACCAAACTTCAAAACACCCATGATTTTTCTCTCTCTTTAAAATACTGATAGAAGTGAGTGAGAACTGGACAGGTGAAATTTTTGCCTTGGAATGGGGAATGGGGTTCAGGGGGTAGAGAAGGTGGTAAACATGGCTACCTATTCACTGGAGGTCAAAGGTCAAACAAACCTAATGAGGGCTTAGCTGATTAACAAAGAGCCTGCCACTGTACTGAGCGAGCATTAACAAACTTCTTTGTTCCCCACTGCCGACGATTCCCTTCAGTTTGCTCAGTGTAATCAAATTAAACTACATTCTTAATGGTTCATTTAGTGGCATTTAGAGCAACTCCACAAGTGGAACAGCAGAGCCCAGTCTGCCTGGGTTGGGAATTAAGGCTAATAAGGAGATTAATTGGGGAGGGTAGTTAAGGAGGAATGAGTGTTTCTCTCTAGCTCCCTAAATGATCATAAGTCTAACATGAACAATGAAACAAAACCTCACATTTTGGGTTGCAAAGATAGCTTCTTGAATCCGTCCCATGGAGAGAAACCAGTGTGTGTGGGGGGCAGTGCAAAAGTGCACCCCTCAGGACAGTGTCAATCCAGCCAAACAGGTAATTAATTAATTACAGATCGAAAAAACCAACATCTGCCTGGCTATTTCCCCCTTCCCTTTCCACACAGTCAACCCCATACATAGGGCTACTTACGACAACCTCTGTCACACAAACCAAGCATTTTCCAAGGAGCGATAATGAACAACTCTACTATGAGAACATAAGGATCTTTTTGTTGAATGACATCAAGGTCCATCTCATTCAGACGTCCGAGTACCCATGTTTTGTTATCACCAATCATAGGTTTAAAAAAATTCAAGCAGCAAGACAGAGAAGCTTACAGTATATAATCATCATCACCATGTGTCATTAAGTCAATTCTGACTTATGGCGACCCTTTTCAGGGTTTCACAGAGAATACTCAGAAGTGCTTTACCATTTCCTTCCACTGGGGGCGCCGTGGGTCTGTGCAGCTTGCCCAAGGCCACCCAGGCTGGCTTTACTCACAAGAGGCACAAGAGGGGGAATCCAGCTTTCAGCTTCTGTCTCTGCATCCAGGCACCTAAATCGCTGGAAGAAAAGTACCTCTCTTTTTCCAGGACATCAATGGGGCAAAATTTTATTTTTATTTTATTTTCATATATCACTATCCTCCTTTTCTGTTATATTTATTCAAGGCACTTAAGCATTTGGTGAAGTGTCCCATCACAACACAAAGACACCGCCCCTCCCCAAAAAGCTTGACAGAGCCCCCCCATTTTGCCCTTCTGCAGGCTTATCCCAAGACACAATGTCTTCGAAATGTTTACCCTAAGAAGACTTGCAGTTCTTTTTCAAGTAAATATTCAGAAAACCACACATGCATTTTTTTTTTAAAAAAGAACACAAATGGCTAAAACGTGTACAAGTGAAAAACAAGCAGAAATACACTGCTCTCAGTGTGTGTGTGTGTGGGGGGGTAAAAGCAAACACCCACACCCACACACTTATTAGTGGGAAAAATGCACAGGAAAAAGACAGCATGGCCTGCCAGGCTAGAAGGAATACAGACAAAAGGATAGCAGGATTCAGAGAAATTCCACAAAACGAGCAGAACGTTTTTCATCTCTGGTGTCCAGGTCTCCTTACCAACGACATCAAGCTGGTACGTGTGGTTGATCGTTCCGTATTTGTTCTCCACAATGCAGGTGTAGTTGCCTTTATCAGACGGCACGACCGAATCCATGATGATGCTCCAAGTCGCATGACGAACCTTTGGGGGAAAAAAGATGATGCAGACAGCTCAGTAAGGTTAGCTCCTGATCGAGGGAAGTGGTGGTGGCAGAGGTAAAACTGTCCCTCCCCCCACACACACACACACCCTTCTCCAAGGCAGGCCAAAGGCCTTGACAGTTCTTATGCTACATTTTTTGGACTGCACACAATTGCCATTTGAGGTCATGTTTCCCCTATTTGCTCCACCGAGGGAGTAATTGCTGCCAGCTGCTGAGCTGACCACAGAGCCAGCAACATCTGGAAACTGATATTACGGACGACGAGTGGGACGAGAACTCTGCGCCAGCACAGGAACTGACTCCTCTCCCACATAAAGGAAGGCTCACTATAGCCCAAGCTAACCACAGGGAGCTGCGCAGTATATGTGTCGTGTGTGGATTCATTTGCACCAGTACCAAAGCTGGCCCGTGGGGCGGGATTTGGGCACTTCCATCGATTATGCATGGGTGGGTGCATGCATGCATGCATGTTCTGTGTTCGTTTTCCTGCTTTGAAAACTTTTTACAAGGCATCTTATAAAACAGTACCAATGGAAAACACAGCCTTGTAAATCAGAACAACTAAAAACAGCAGTAGCGAAAACACAAAGCCCACACAAGATTTAGTGTACAAGGTGACACGAGCCAAGTTAAAAAAAATAAAAAAAATAAGTAAAATTAAAAAATATAATAATGTAACAGTGTAATATAAAAATAATAGTACTTCGAGATAGGTACAAACAATGAGTTCAGGGATTTGTGCCGGTTCATTTGTCAACTGAAGAGGTGTTCCGCACTTCGAATCCCTGCCTCGTCTGGCAGGCGCTCGCTCGGAGATTTGGCTTCCCTGTCCCACCTGCTCCGGGCACTTGTCTCTGATTGGGTGCCTGCCTGAGGAGGCAGGGCTTTAAAGCACCGAAGTTCGGTCACTAAATGAACCAGCACGAACCACCAGTTCATGCCCATCTCTAATGATAATTCTAGAACTTCAGAGCTGGAAGAGATAGTTATCCTCAGCCAGACCCAGAAGCAGCAGGCTAGTTTACATCTACCCTTTAGGGTCTCCTAGATACAGAGTAGTCAGAAGCGGTTTCCCATTCCCTTCTTCTGGGGTGACCTGGGACTGCGCAGCTTGCCCAAGGCCACCCAGGCTGCACAATATATATTTTATTTAATTTATTTATCTTATTTATAGGCTGCCTTTCACCCGGTAAGGTGTCTGAAGAATTAAAAACACCGTAAGATACACGTTAAAAAAATAACTAAACTCTAAGACTGATTAAAATACATTGAATCATTAAAAACATGTTAAGCATTAAAATTTATCTTAATTAAAAATGGCATTCAGAGGCTCAATGATGACTGTTAAAATTGTTAAGAGCCTGCCTGTTAAAGTGGGTCTTTAGCTGTTGGTGGAAGGATAAAAGTGAGGAGGCCAACAACCTGACCATCCGAGGGAGAGCACTCCATAACCTGGGAGCCAACACAGAGAAGGCCCTCTCTCATGTCCCCCTCAATTGATGTTTTGCCAGTCCCCATTAATTACAATGTGACACACAGAACTCTATACAGTGGTACCTCGACTTACGAACGTCTCCGCTTACGAACATTTTGAGTTACGAATGGCTCCGTTCGCAAAATGTTGCTTCGACTTGCGAACGGAGCCTCGACTTACAAAAAAAACAAAAAAACCCCTTTCCTGCCCTTTTTTTTGACCTAAGTTCATCTTAGGTCAAAAGAAGAAAAAAGAAAAAAAAATTCTCCCCCTAGCGGTAGAGGACGGATTAACCAGCTTTGCATTAGTTCCAATGGAAACTAATGCCTCTAATTGTGAACAGCGCCTCGGCATAAGAACGAAAAACAGCTGGAATGGAGTAAATGGTTTTCAATGCATTCCTATGGGAAACTTTGCCTCGACTTACGAACTTTTCAATGTACGAATGCCGTTCCAATATGGATTAAGTTCGTAAGTCGAGGTACCACTGCATTTTCAGGAAGGGAACTGCCCAGGGGGGCTTGGGAGGAGCAGCCAAGCCATCATCACTGCTCCCTTCCCCATAGCATTTATAGCTTGGTGCCATTGCTCCATTCTGCCTCATAGCAGGGCCGACGTTTCCTCAGCCAAAGCCTGAACAGCCCCCCCCCAGCAGTCAAAGGGGTGCATCACACTGCCCATGGCAGTTGAGATCAAGATTGTCTGCCAAGATTGCAGGCCTCTTCCAGCAGCAACGAAAGAGCTGCCGAAGGACAGCCAGAGAGAAACAAGAAGCAACCGCAGCACGACTAATTGTTAGGAAGAGCCAAGAGGCATATATTGGAGGAGGTGACAAGGAGCCGCTGTTTGACAGCTTCAAGCCAGGGGGTGGGGGGAAAAGAATGACAGGGACCATCGGATTCATCAAAGCCGCTATTGATTCCTAAGACGAAGCTTGTTTGGCGAGGCCAGAAGATTAAAAAGGAAAAAGCAACATAGAACAGGATGGCTCTTGTCTGTATCGGTGGCGGTTGCTACAGGAGTTTTATTATTAACACAAGGGGCTAGGCTCCGCGCTCATGGTGGGAGGCGTATAAGCCACGCTGAGCCAGTGAGTCACTCTGGATGGAAACAAGTTGTTCTAACTGGAGGCGAACGGATGAGGCATCCTAGGCGAGCCAGAAGCACTCGCTCGCAAGAGCCAGAATGGACTTCTGCCTTGTCACATGTACAACGCCTCCAGTGAGCTTTGACGAGGTTCCAAGTAGATCCGACCGTCCCTAGCCAGCATTAGACCTTTGAATGATGACAAAACTCTGGGTGGATTAGTCATCTGCTTTTAAAACAACCAGCTAATGGA